AAAAGAGCACGGCTTAAAAAATATTTCAAAATAGGAGACATAATAATGTTGCAAGCACAGAGAAAAAAGAACGATACCCGTTTGATATTGTTCCCTCAATTTTCTCGAAGATTAAAGTTAATAAGTTAACAAGTAGGTAACAGGTAGAAGAAAGCATTGTCGACACTATAAGGTAAATATATTCTTTATCATGGTCCCTACCCGAGCCGATGTAGCCATTTCCGTCTGTCCCTCTGTCCGTGAGAACTTTTTGATCTTGAAAACTAGGGACAGTAGACACTATCGATATTATCGATATTATCGATTATCGATACTATCGAAATCTTAGAAAGTAAACGACAAATTATAAAAAACTAAAAATAAATTAAACAGATTTTTTAATATTTATTCTTACAAAAAATCAATCTAAAAACTCTTTTTTATTCTACAAAAGTACCAAACAAATTGTTTTGCTGAGCGGTATAGGGCCCGAGCCATACATGTTTCCTAAATTTCAAACCCATCGATAGTATCGATAGCGCAATCGATCGATTTGATTTGAGACTTGACATGCAGATTCCTAAGCTTCTGATTCAGCGCAAGTTTTTTATCCCAACTTTCCACGCTTCGGACACGCCCGACTAGAGTCAGAAATTTACTCATACTATACATACAAAAATATTATGAAGGGCAAACAATTTGTTTTATAATTTGGATTTCATAGGCAAACATAAATGAAAGCTTAAGAAATGTAGCCACTGTACAGGGAAATTAAAAACTACCACCGAAAAAGTTTAATAAATAATGTTATAGTCCGCTTATTGTGTACCCCATAAATTAAGAACATACGAAAGCATTTTACATATGCATATGAACGCTTAAGGCTGCAAATTTGAATAAATATTCAATTCATTAAATAAAGGACACGTATTATGATGTTATTCGCCCATTCCCAAAATTTCGCAACGGAGTTATGCCTAATTCGCATTTGCCGAAAAATATGAAAAAATGTTAAGGCGTACAAAAGCGGGAAATACATCCGAAAAAGAAAATTTAAAAAAATGCATTGGCAGCCTACAAATGATGTTTTAAAAGATTTTCAGTTGATTTGCAACGGGGAGGACAGAAGCAAGAGCTAAAAGCTCCTAATACAAAATAATTTGAATTAAAGAAGAAACCGTAAACGATGTTAAAACCAGGCGGGAAGAGGAAAAATTAACATAAAATATTTGTAAAGCCGCTTGGGTCAAATGAAAGGCGGCCAACCTGAATGGGTTTGGCCGAGCCCATCATTTTATTAGCATTCCATTCGGGTCTTTAATTTCAATATTGACTTTTTTTAAACATAACCTTAAATATAAAAGTTTGGCACGGTCAAGCACTCCCTCCCTATGCAACATACTTTTCTCGCAAATCGACGAAATGCACTGAAAAATATATTAATTGTTTAGTTTAAAATATTTCTAATTTTATAAAATAAGTGCTTAAGACTCGAAAGATTTCGCTGACTCTTTGACCATTCCACTCCACCATTGTGGCGTGATAATAAAACAAGAAAGGAAGATAACTTCTAACTGAAATCTTTATATCTCCTGCAAGGGTATAACAATTAAAGGGTGACATTATAGTTGTAAAACAAGAGAAAACACTGTAGTCGATGGCCTCGACTATTAGATACCCGTTACTCTGCTTTTTTCACCAAGACAAGATACATGACCTAAAATGATCAATAATGGTTTGTTGAAGGTGCGATATTACCTCATGAAGAGGTGTGTTTGTTTGATAGATATGGACATGAGGCTTTCAAATAGAAACAAGAGAAATCAGATACCCGTTACTTAGCTTAAGGGAGTGCGAGAGGAATGGAAATATGCTGAAGACAATTCTGCTTTTCTTCTATAGCGCCAACAATCAACTATTGATATTTATACCCGTTACTCGTAGAGTAAAAGGGTATACTAGATTCGTCGGAAAGTATGTAACAGGAAGAAGGAAGCGTTTCCGACCCCATAAAGTATATATATTCTTGATCAGGATCACTAGCCGAGTCGATCTAGTCATGTCCGTCTGTCCGTCTGTCTGTCCGGATGAACGCTGAGATCTCGGAAACTATGAGAGCTAGGCTATTGAGATTTCGCGTACAGATTCCTGAGCTTCTTACGCAGCGCAAGTTTATTTCAGTAGACTGCCACGCCCACTCTAACGCCCACAAACCGCCCAAAACTGTAACTCCTACAGTTTAGATGCTAGACAGAAAATTTTAACTGAAATGTATTGTTCTCATCAATACCTATCGATTGACCTACAAAAAGTTTGCCACGCCCACTTAAACGCCCACAAACCGCGAAAACCTGTGACGCCCACAATTTGCATGCTAGATACAAAATTTTAACTGAAATGTATTGGTGTCGTCAAAACCTATCGATTGATCTAAAAATACATTTGACACGCCCACTCTAACGCCCATAACGCTTAAGTCTGTCTACCGCCGGTAGGTGGCGCATTTTAATCTCGCTTTGCTGCTTGCATATCCCCATTTCCCTTTGAGTAACGGGTATCTGATAGTCGAGGTACTCGACTATAGCGTTCTTCCTTGTTTTTTTTTATTACATCTTTTAAATGGTCCGATTTCAATAATTTTTTGCAAGTAGTATTGATAGTAAGAAATCTCATTTAGATTTAAACAGGAAGTTAAAATATGTAGGCGTTTTAGTATTAAAGTCGTTTGTGGGCGTTAGAGTGGGTGTGGCACCCTGCTGAAACAAACTTTGGCTGCGCAATTAGCCTTTTCCCAAAAAATGCTTGGACTTTTTATCGATAATAGCTTCATAAAACTTTTTCATGAGTGACCACGTTTGATATAGATTAATGATTAACCAAAAACTTACCTCGACAGAAAAGAAAATTAAGTCGTTAACATTTTCGTGCAATAATTTTTCATAACTTTCGAAATGGATTATCACAACAAGAGTGCATCGATGAACTTAAATCTTTGTATGGCGATGAAGCACCATCCTATAGCACTGTGAAAAGCTGGTAATGAGTATCGCTCAAAAAAGGATCATGTGGATTGGTGCAAGGACTTTTGGAAAATATACACTCATGGTGTTTCAAAAAACGATTATAAGATCGTCAAAGCTGACGAGTCTTTGATCCATCCTTATGAGCCCAAAACAAAACAGCAATCGATCGTGTGGGTCTTTGAAGACAAGCCAAATCCAACGAAAGGTGGTCGTGATAGAAGCACTTCGAGTCAAATGGTCGGTCATTTGGCGACTGTTCCGCTTGAGCAACGTAGAACGGCCGATTCTGAGTGGTACACCATAATTCGTTTGTCTGAAGACTTCGGATAATTTCGAAAAACAAACAATGGAAGACGGGTCATTGTGGATCATGAGAATACGAGCTCTCACACATCAGTTCAAACCAGAGCATTTTTTACCGGCCAAAACGTCGAATTGATGGTTCATCAGCCGTACAGCCCTGACTTTGCACCCTATGACTTCTCTTTATTCTCGCACGTCAAAAGAACAATTCGTAGTCAACGATGTTTTTATTGTAAATGCCTAAGATGTATTGGAAAATTAATAAGTCCCAAATGAGTAAAACGATTCACAATGTTTATGTAACTTTTAACCCATCTTATTTTTCTGAAGCACAAATTTAATAAAGCATCCTGTTGCATACTCAAGTGGGTAGTCAAGAAATAAGTTGTAGCTATACCCACAAGGGGGAAGTTGTAAAGACTATAAACACAAACGTCTCACTTGGCTTTTTGACAGCCTCTCGTAAAGCGCTCCAATTTGAGGACACCACAAAATTTCTAAACAAAAAGTGTCCTTTCAGAGAACTTTTTGTCTTGGGTAGGCCATGTATACATACTTATAGCGAAGAATTTGTGTATGCGCTAGGATTTATGTCGCGTGTTCAAAAATTTGCTAGGCTAGAAAACAAGCAGTCAGCACGCAGGCAAGGTTCTAGGGGCATCTTAAGTTCTTCTAAGAAGTTGGGCGTTCTTGACAAGAGCCTGAAAGCAAAGTTAGAATGAATTTTCCGAGACTGCTAAGTTGCTTCGTCCTTCAGGATTGTTACGGTGGTAGACAAGCTAGGTAACTAGGCTAAATACAATACTTAAAATATGTCGTTCGAAGGATTTCTTAAGCGAATTTCTCCAAGGCACAGTTTTAAAGGCGTGTTGAATAAACTACTTTACCAAGGTTAGTGCGTGGAATCCATATCGACAAAATATATAACGTTATACACTGTCAAGTTATCAACTAAGTCAACTCTTAGTCACTACCATTTATTTACGTTTTCCATTCAATTTGAGGACTTTTCCGCCCAAGTCTGAATGATTTTATGTTAACTGCCAAGTGGCATGCAAATGTAGACCTCAAAAAATATTATATATATGTCCTCGGACATCGTATGTTTTCCTGGAAAAAGTTATTGGGGTAATCAGTCCTGAGCAAATCAAATTCTTTTTATATGTCTGTGTGACTTTTGGGTGACTTTGAAGCACAAATACCACACATAGTTCGTTTGGCCTGGCTTTGTTTTTTAAGCTTTCTTGACTTTATTTTTATATTTTGTTTTTTTGTCAAGTCGTGGCTGCTGCTTAACGAACAGAATAATTTGCATAACAAACAGTAATATTTGGCTAAAAAGGAGCTGAGAACAGCAGCCACACCAGTATCTTGGGTCAGAATACAATGTATATGCCTTGGGGCTACGTTTTGTATACGTTACTTGGCAATACAAATGATAAAATCATTTTTAACACATTTTACGTTTTGTTGGAACTGGGATACCCAATAAAACTATTTTGAGTTTCTCACATTCTTCCAGGCTGTATCCAATTATGGGCAAAAAGAATCAACTTTTTTTTGAAAAGCTAAATACTAAATACTAAATTCATGTGCCCAACTTCCATTTCCGACTGCGAAGCTATGAATCCCCGCTGTGGGACATGGCGTATACGTAACATAAGCTAGTGGCCTACAATTTCAAAGCATACTCACCCAAAGTGGGCCCCGATGAATGAAAGTGCGTCCGTTTGGCCTAGGAGCTCACTCGAACTCGATGCTGGAACTTTAAGCCGCTTTGAAGACTGTCGACAGCCGAAAGGCTTGTCTGGCAGGAGATTTGGCCTGTTTGAGGTCCTTTGCCCTGCTGCGACACGCGCACTTCGCTCGAGCTCACACACACGCACTTCTAGTGGGCAGGAAGTCCCTTATACTGGAGGCAATTAAAACGCTTCGGCCATTTGACTTTCTCCACGTACCACCCACTGCCATCTGGTAATTTTAAACTCAAAGGTTCATATATCCTTGACTGCCACAAGTTTCGCTGAAGAATGTAAACGTTCTTTCTTTTCGGGCTGGCACATGGCTAAAACGCTTTGTTGTGCCGCACACAAATATTCGGCAATTAAGCGCTTGGGCGGCACACGGTGCGTATGAGCGATGGCGAGCGCGGTGGAATTGGTACCGGAATGCCTAGAAGTACTCGTAATGTAAGCAGGCGTCAGCCGGCTGGCGTGTGTCATCTTTAATGGCGGCCATGGCGACGGCAAAGTTGAAGGAGCGGGAAGGTATTTCCCCGGATTGCTGTGCTGCCGGTGTTGCGGTTTGTTGTGTGATCAGATCACGTATTGGCCGGGTCAGTACCCACGACGGTGACACTTTATGGCTCCCACAAGGGACGCGTTCTCAAGTGAGCCAAGTTGGCTTTTATAATCCTTTGGAGTCAATGTGGGCTACTACTGAGCAGTGCCGGATCCAAGATTTTGATGTTCAGGGGTTTTCAGAACACAATTTGTCGTGGCATACATTTTCTTTCACTTCTTACCCGTGTGAGGGGTATTTATCCTCAAATTTGGATCCGCGCCTGCTATTGAGGTGCTTCAAAACTGAGAAGCACGTTAGTTGAATATGACCACCTTATGGCAGGGATTGAAAACTGAAGGTGTCAACTTTCAAATGATGACACGAAATACTCTTCTAACATAAAATTAGGTGCAACTGGAGATTGTCAAAGGAGGAGTACTACAAAAAGCATTGATCGTTCGACTATAATGTGGTAAAGTATTGTTTTAGCTAAAAGTTGCGAGCATGTGTTATATGGATTGATACAAACACCCTAATGAGACCTCACAAGAAATTATTAATCATTCGACTAATGAAAATACTGATATCCGTAATTTGGCTTGTTTACGGTGCGATTGTTAAAGGTACCCGTTAAAGAGGTGTGTTTTTTTGATAGCTTAGGCTTTACTTAGCCCATATTTATTCAAAATATTTTATTAGGTTAATAATTTTTGAAGTCTTATAACATGCCTTGCTTGTTTCACACTTTTAGCACTCTTTCCTTAAATTCTCCCGGAGGAATATGGAAGGAGTGAGAAAGAAACAAATTAATTTCAACTTATTTCTCCGAAAGGGGTACATATATGTTTATTAATTGGCTTAGAAGACACCTCGTCGCGTTATCCCCAAAGTGAGTTTATCACTGTTTTCATTTCGCTAGGCAGGCTGTAATGCCCATCGAAGAGCTATTACCAGGCCAGGCACGCCCGGATTTCTCACCGCGCACCCGCCGCCCAAAATATAGCAACCCGCTGCCGACCGAGCGATCCATTCATAAAAAACTTTCACCCAGCAAAGTTAAAGCTTTAAACACTGACACACGCGATTGGGGTTTCCTGCACAGTTGCCTACTTTTTGGGGCGGCAGAAGCCTGAGAAGCCTTAATCGAAATCAGCGCGACTTGCGCCGGAACTCCGAGTGAATTTCGCACGGACACGCAACCAGACGCTCCGAGATTTGCACGGGAACTGAAACTGAAATCGAAACGGACCGAGTCTGATTGGGCCGCAGCAGCCGTCAAATGGAAGAAGCTGAGTTACTTCGGCGGCAGCGAAAGTGAAACGTAACGCATACGCAGCGTTGACCCGCTTCCCCACAGGGCCAACGGAGAGCTTTCGCCCCTCACGAGCTTTCAGAGCGGCACTCGGGAGAGCAGGACTCGGAACAGCTGACTTTTGTTGTTAATTCTGCGCCTTGCCGGGTGGCCTCCTGAATCGCTGTTGTCTGGGTCCACTTTTCTTTCGCCAAGCAGTTCTGCTTATGCAAAGTTTTGCTTGGGAATTATCAGTAAGTGGTTCTACTACACCACTATTCGCCCACGACTTCGGCTGTTGTTGACATGGCCAAGGTCACGCTAAGCCGGTTCGCCAAATATATCACTGCTTAAGCCAGCGGACATTTCATGTCAAATGTTGTCAGCCAGCCGAGCTTATATCGTTATATTAAACAAACGATTTATTGGTAGTGAAGTTCCACGAAAAAAATTAGTGTAACAATCCTAGAAGTATGTAATTCCCGAGCATATATGTCTAGATATTTCGACGTTCAGCTCACATTCCCAATGTGTTGACAACCAGTCAAAACTTGCAAGTCCTAAGGAGTCGAGGTTCACCAGTCAGTATGATAAATGCTAAAAACGATGTGTTGCCAGTTTAGCTATATATTCAAGTAAAACAAAAGACGTGTCTTCCATATCACTGTGGACGGCTGTCCACGTAGTGACGAAGCGCACCGGGAGAGTGTGCGTAGGTGACTACTATATAAAGCCGCAAACTCAGAAAAAATCAAGTAATTGGTGCTTGATTCAAGTATTTTTGGTGTCAAAACTTCGAGGAAAGTGCAGCTTAGGAGCACGAATTTTCTAGACCGAAAATACTAGGTTTCAGAACCTTTCGGTACAATCAATAGTCATATTTATACTAAAAACAAGAACGATTTAATAATTAAGTAAGTAAGTTGCAGGCATTATTTAAAGACGAGTAATTCTTACATATATTGTTAATATAAATTTGTTTTAAATTATGGGCTAGTAAGAGATTATTGGAAACTGAAATAAACTATATATATCTAAAAAATATTCATATTTTATGTTTACTTACGACTTGCCGCTCACGGGCATTAACAGTGGGTAATTTATGCGCCCTATTAATTATATTATTAATTTCGAGTCGTATACACATACTTTTGGAAAAATCCGCTAGTTTAGCGGAAAATTACAAAAAAGTCAGATTTGAATGCGTATAGTTCTAAACTACTAATGCTACAGACACGTGCTATATGTGCTGGCTAATCACACTGCCTTTGTTAAATTGACTAAGTATAATAAAACGAAGTTATAGATAATATTTATTTTAACCACCTTTTGCCAACTTTTTCCGAATTGGTTAGAATGATTTATATTTTCACCTTAAATTATGCCCGAGTAGATTGCTATTAATTAACTGATTTGTAAATCGTAGAATATTAAAGGTGATATTGATTCCGTAGATTTGGTAAGCCGCTTAACCTTTAATGTTCCTGCTAGACTAACTACACAGAGGGAAATATTCAAGTACATTATTCATGAATTGAGAACATTCGTTCTTTAAAACTAAGGAAAGTAAATTTTGGAATCAATGTTCTCAATGCTAGAACGAAATGGTGAGAAGAGAAAAGTTAAATTGAGTTTATTTAACAGTAGTGTACACTACTGACTGGACTAATAGTTTATTTGTTGAGATACACTATGCAAATACCGCCATTTCAACTTGATTCGAGCAAAGTGAAAACATTTTCATCTTCAAAAATGTCGTTCTATTTTTAGGAACATGTTCAACTCAGATGAGAACATCAAAATTTTATCTATGTACTATTCTATTAACTAACATCTTAGCCACTAAAATCTTAGCTCATTTGCTTCAGTCTTAGTTTCTCTTTGTTTTATCCCGTCTTTGTTTGTTCTATGTACCTTTTTCGAGAATCGTATTCGCCCCAAATGAAAAATGGGATCCGCGTACTTGGTGTCGTTGGGCCACTTGTTTGTACTGCTCTTATTGCATAACGTTCAATAACAACAATAATAATTATAATATATAGCCCTTGACTTTGACTTGATTTTTGACGTATAACACTGTTTGTTATAAAAAATACCGTTTGGAAGATATTGATCGATAAAGAGGGCAATCCGATTCAGTTCAGTATGAAAAGCATTTAATGCTTGCTTGAATGGCCGAACACTATGAACCATTAATTTGAATTAAATTAATGTAAAAAAATTCTTATTAGGTAGGTATTTTTTAAGTATAAGAAAAACATTTGGAATTTTTTATTGAAAACGAAGGACTAAAAATTTCTTGTAATAAATTAATTAATAATAATAAGATTAAAACTGAAAAATGTTCTAGGTTGAATTTCCGACCTAATTACACATACTTTATTTAAATTCTTAGAAAAACTCTTTCTATACTTAAGGACGTTAGGTATTGATAAAAACAATAAATTTCAGTTACAATTTGTATTCTAACATTACAACTGTAGGAGCCACAGTTTTGGGCGGTTTGTGGGCGTTAGAGTTGGCGTGGCGAAACAAACTTGCGCTGCGCAGCAATCTCAGGAATCTGCATGACTAATCCTAGTGTTGTAGCTTTTATAGTTTCCGAGATCACAGCGTTTATACGGACAGATTTTTTAGATTTCGTTCGAAATTCTGAAATTAAGACAATGATATTCCCAAGAGAAGAAGTTAATATGTCAAAGAACACTGAAGTAATAACTAACTTACATTTTAAAAATAATTTTTTTATCATTTTTGTGGAAGCTTTAGGATATAGTGGTCCGATCTGGCGATTATATACTTCCTTCAATTGAAATAAGACATACGGACAGAGGGACAGACGGACATGGCTAGATCGACTCGGCTAGTGATCCTGACCAGGAATATATATACTTTATATGGTCGGAAACGCTTTCTTCTGCCTGTTACATACTTTCCGACGAATCTAGTAAACCCTTTACTCTACCAGTAACTGGTATAAACAGCACACAATTTCAATTAAATATGCTTACTTTATTGGAACTTTAAAGCTGGCATACAAAATGTTGTTCAGCATATAGTATAAATAGCAAATAGTTTGCACATAATTAAAAATGTTTTTCGTTTTTAATGATCAAATTTATAACTATTTACAAGAAACCAAAAATTGTATAAACAATGTTTCGTGACTTGGGAGTCCCTTACAAATTTAGTTAGTAAAATTCACTATTTAATAATATAACAACAGTAAAGTAGTAAAACTACTGTATAAATAGTAAAGCAACTCTAAAAATAGTAAATTTACTGTATAAATAGTAAAAATACCATTTAATAGTGAAATTACTAAAAACAAGAAAAAAGTTAGCTTCGGCAAGCCGAAGAAGCTATAATTATTAAATTTAAAAACACAAAAAATGATGCTCCCAATAGTATAAGAAACAAGGGAGAACGCTATAGTCGAGTACCTCGACTATCAGATACCCGTTACTCAGCTAAATGGAGATATGCAAGCAGCAAAGCGAGATTAAAATGCGCCACCTACCGGCGGTATACAGATTTAAGCGTTATGGGCGTTAGAGTGGGCGTGGCAAATTTTTTTTGGATCAATCGATAGGTATTGACGAGACCAATACATTTCAGTTAAAATTTTTTATCTAGCATGAAAATTGTGGGCGTCACAGGGTTTTGCGGTTTGTGGGCGTTAAAGTGGGCGTGGCAAATTTTTTTTTGGATCAATCGATAGGTATTGACGAGACCAATACATTTCAGTTAAAATTTTTTATCTAGCATGAAAATTGTGGGCGTCACAGGGTTTTGCGGTTTGTGGGCGTTAAAGTGGGCGTGGCAAACTTTTTTTGGGTCAATCGATAGGTATTGATGAGAACATTACATTTCAGTTAAAATTTTCTATCTAGCATCAAAACTGTAGGAGCCACAGTTTTGGGCGGTTTGTGGGCGTTAGAGTGGGCGTGGCAGTCTACTGAAACAAACTTGCGCTGCGTAGGAAGCTCAGGAATCTGCACGCCAAATCTCAATAGCCTAGCTCCCATAGTTTCCGAGATCTCAGCGTTCATCCGGACAGACGGACAGACGGACAGACGGACAGACGGACAGACGGACAGACGGACAGACGGACAGACGGACATGGCTAGATCGACTCGGCTAGTGATCCTGATCAAGAATATATATACTTTATGGGGTCGGAAACGCTTCCTTCTGCCTGTTACATACTTTCCGACGAATCTAGTATACCCTTTTACTCTACGAGTAACGGGTATAAATATGTCAAAAAACACCGAAGCTTTAATTTGTTTCATATTATTTTCCTACCTATTTTCCGATCGTTCCTATAGCAGCTATATAATAGAGTCATCCGATTTTGATCAAATTTAATTCGAAATTCAGAACTAATTAAAAAATTTTATTTCCAAGCGTTGGAGGTTATATGTTGAAAAACACCGAAGCTATAATTTGTTTCATAATATTTTTCCACCAATTTTCCGATCGTTCCTATGGCAGCTATATGATATAGTCGTCCGATTTCGATAAAATTTAATTCAAAATTCAAAACTAATTAAAAAATGTTATTTTCGAGCTTAGGAGGTTATATGCTAAAAAACACCAAAGATATAATTTTTTTTAATTTTTTTGTCCGATTATTCCTATGGGAGCTATAAGATATAGTTGTCCGATCCGGCTGGTTCCGACTTATATACTACCTGCAAAAGATATAAGACTTTTGGGAAAGTTTCGGCCCGATAGCTTTAAAACTGAGAGACTAGTTTGCGTAGAATCGGACGTACAGACGGACATGGCTGGATCGACTCGTCTAGTCATGCTGATCAAGAATATATATACTTTATGGGGTCGGAAACGTCTCCTTCACTGCGTTGCAAACTTCTGACTGAAATCAATATACCCTCTGCAAGGGTATAAAAATTAAAACTACCATAAAACAA